GATTTATGACCTCTCTGGCCATGTGTATTTGGCTATATTTAGAGTGCCACCATGAGTTTCCTCCCATTGAGAGGGCTTTAAGTCCAATTAGATAGCTGTTGGTTACCCCCTAGGTAAAAGTGCCGCTACTGCACCAATAGAGATAGTTTGCTCTGCCAATCATTGTGTTTCTTAGGCTTTACAGCTGGGCTGCACCATTGATTTATTTTCTCCCTTAGCAGTTTGCATAGTATCCTCTAGAACTATGAGAGCTAGTTTTCAAGGAGAAAGCTTCCATTTTAGGTCCAGCTCCTTTGTTCCAAGTCCTCCGTCCAATGTCCTGTCTTCAGCTATAGGTCTTACCTTCAAGTTCTCGAAGGTAAACCAAGGCTCTGGCAATGGCCTATGTTATCTTGGGAATCTCTTGAACTACCTTGACCAACAACTCAAAGGGAGGTTTCTCCTGTCTGGAACCATATTTCTTGTTATATAGCCTTCAGGTATACTCATGCACTCATGCTCAGATATTGAATGTGTATTTCTTTCAGAGAGGTTTTAAATTAACACATTTCCCTCTGGTTGTTTTTTTTATGCCAACTAAGCTTGTTTTTTAAATCTCTTCTCTCCCTCCCTGTCTAGCCTCCCTCCTCCCTCTCCAGCTTAACTTCCCCCATTTTCCCCACGATAATGCCTGTCTCCTATTGTCCCCCCTCTTGAGCTCCTTCTTCTCCTTTACCCCCATGTTTCCTTGTATGTCCTTCACACCTCTCTTCCCGGTTAAATACCCCCATTTTGCTCACTTCCCCCTTGGCAACATCTCTATCCTATTATCCTCGTCTCTTGCACTGTTTCTTTCCCTTTACCTCTGTGGTTCCTTTCCAATTTCCTGGCTCCTGTTGTTAGATCAGGATACATACGCACATATAGGGGACTGGTGTTAAGATCCACAAATGAGGGATAACATACATCGTTTGCTTTTCTGAGTCTGTGCTACTTCACGGAGTATAACAATGTCTAGTTCCAGTCTTTTACCTGCAGATTTCATAATTTCACCTTTTCTTACCATTTTAAATTTTGACAAGTTCCAATTTATGTCTTTGATTAGAGATACTAATTTTTGTGTCATACCTAAAAGTCTTTGTCTGGAGGTTTTATAATTTTAAGTCTTGCACTTAGAGCTGAAATCCATTTAAGTTCACTTTTGTATGTGTTGTACAGTAAGGATCCAAGTTCCTTTTGTGACTGTAGATTTTCACTTCATCCTACCCACTTGTTGAAAAGCCAGTTCTTTATCTACTACATTGTCTTTGTGCCTTTGTCAAAGATTCCTTAGATATTTCTTCTTTAGACTTAATTTCTGAATTGTAGTCTATCATTTTAATTTTTATTTATTTTTATTTTGTGTGTATGAGTGTATTGCGTGCATGTATGCTATTGTACCACATGGCTGCAATGCCCACAGAGGTCAGAAATGGGCATTAGATCCCCTGGAACTGGAGTTTTGAACAGTTTTCAGTAAGAGTCTCCAACTGTTGCAACAATAAGCTTCCTGATGCGTGGTAAGAGGTATGTAAGGATGTGTATTTAGAATTTAGTAAGAAATTACATTGGTTTAGGGAAGTGAGAAAAGTAGGTTATTTTCTAGGGTCTATGACATCTCCAGGCATGTGTGCTTGACTGTGTTTACAGTACCACGTCTGTGTTCTCTCTCATTAAGCAGGCCTTATGTCCAATTAGGCAGCTGTTGATCACTCACAAGGTAGAAGTGCCACTATTTGACCAAAAGAGATAGTTTTCTGGGCAAGTCATTGTGGTTCATAAACTTCACAACTAGGTAGAATCATTGATTTGTTTTCTCCCTTGGCAGCTTGCGTAGTATCTTCTGACATTATGGAAGCTAAATTTCAGGGAGGAGGCTTCCAGGTCAGTTCCAACTCCATTGCTCCAAGTCCTGTGTCTGTCCTGTCTTTAGCAATAGGGTCTTACCTTCAAGTTATAGGTAGCAATCAAGGGCTGTGACAATATCCTGTATTGTTTTGAGAGTCTCTTGGACTACCCTGACCAGCAGCTCAGTAAGAAATTTCTCATGCCTGGCACTGTGATTTTTGTCATGTAACCTTCAGCTATCCTCATGCCCTCACGTTTATATTATATGTGCATTTTTCAGCATGTTTATTCAATTGTATACTTCCCTTTGGTTTTTCACTCCACTGAGCATTTCTTATCTCTCTTCTTTCTGCCCCTGTATAGTCCTTCCTCCTCCCTCCCATTGAAGAATCCCTCATTTCCCTTGATAACTCCTGGTTCCTGCTATGCCCCTCTCTAAAGCTCCTTCTCTTCTCCCCGATTGGTTATTTTCCATTTTCCTGATTCTTGCAGTTATATCAGGATATGTATTCACAACTAAGGATTCCCAGAGCCTCAGTTAAAAAAAAAAATAAACAGGCCTGATGGCCCACACCTTCTCTCCATCTCCCTATTATGCATGCTTGTACACACACACACACACACACACACACGCACACACATGCACACACAACACACGCAGATGTTCACACATGCATGCACACAGACATCACACATGCATACATGCATACACAGATATGCACATAGACACGCATACACGTGCACACACACACATTGGCCCCAAGTATTTGAATATGTTGTCCCCAGTTGGTGGTTCTGTTTTGGGAGTGTGGCCATGCTGGTGGAAGCACATCACTGGGAGCGGGCTTTGAGAGTCCTTAAGCCTTGCTGGATTTCCAGTCGCTCTTGGCTACCTGTGCCTGTTTGAAGATGTGAGCGTTTGGCTTTCTGTTCCTGCCACCTTTGCTGCCATACCTCCCTGCCATGATGGACTCTTACCCCTCTGGAACCGTAAGCAAAATAAATGGTTCCTTCTATAAGTTGCCTTGGTCATGAGGTCTTATTGCAGTAATAGAAAAGTAACTAAAACAATAAGAAATTACATTTGTCTGGGATGTGACAGATGTAGGTATTTCTCTGGGATCTATGACCCCTCCAGCTATGTATATTTGGCTATGTTTAAAGTACCACATATGAATTCCCTCCCATTGAGAGGGCTTTAAGTCCAATAAGATAGCTATCGATTACCACAAAGATAAAAGTTCCACTACTGCACTTTGCTATGCCAGTCATTGTTGTGCTTATTAGGCTTTATACTGGGGCTGGACCATTGATGGACTTTCTCCCATAGCAGCTTGCATAATATCCTGTGATACTATGAGAACTAGTCTTCAGGGAGGAGACTTCCATGCCAGTACCAGCTCCATTGCTCCAACTCCTGTGTCCAAAGTATGTCCTGCTTTTTTAATTTTATATTGCCATAGGGTCTTGCTTTCAAGATCTGGCAGATAATCAAGGGCTGTGGTAATGGCCTGGATTATTTTGGGAGTCTCTTGGACTACCCGAACCAACACCTCAAAGGAGGTTTTCTTCTGTCTGGCACTGTGTTTCTTATATAACCTTCAAGAAACACACTTGTTCTCATATATATTTTGTATATGTATTTTTCAGTAGACTTTTGAACTAATACATAGGCTCCAGTTTTTCACACCACCTAAGATTATTCATCTCTCTCTTCATCCTGGTCTAACTTTTCATCCTCCCTCCCAAGTTAAGGTGCCCATTTTCCCCACTCCCCTCTTAATGGTACCTGTCTCCTATTATTCCCCCCTATTGAGCTCCTTCTTCCCCTTTAACTCCATGTTTCCTTGTACCATGCTTGCTCCTCCCTTCCCAGTTAAATAGTCTCATTTTCCCCTTGGCAACACCTGTCTCCTACTATCCCCCTTTATTAGTTACTTTTCTGTTGCTGTGATAGAAACACTGACCAAAACAACGTGTAAAAGGAAGAATTTATTTGAGCTTACAGTTCCAGGGGAATTACAGTCCATCATGGCCGGGTGTTTTCATTTTATGTTTGCATTTTTGGTTTTAGATCTTCCTTTTGGATATTTTTCATTATTCTTAATTATCCTCCACTTTTCTTTTTCAAACTACTCATTCTAGTCCTTTTGTACTTTTTGAAAGTTTTTATTAGTAAACATTAAGGGTAGAGTAAGGACTTCATGATGACATTTCCATATGTGCAGAGAACGTACTTGCTAATATTCACGAGCTCTATTACACTTAAACTCCCTCCCCTTCCCCTTCCACATCCCGAACATTTCCCCTTTTACTTTCAGGAGCCCCCACACCCGGGATTCTGCATTTAAAACAGGTGAGCAATATTTGTCTTTGTGGGACGGGCTCATTCGCAATCCATTTTTTCTGAATATGACAGCAGTTCTTTCTTTTCATGATTATATGATTCTTTCCTTTGATTCTGTTCCCATGCTGTCTTATTTATCAGTCAGTGTATGTTTCGATCCTTGCCTGACTGGTTGAACCTATCTTCATCGTGAAGTATGCCTTTTTATATGCTTCATAGGGAGAATTTAGAAGCACTTCTTCCCATTCTATCTAATGGGATAGTTTGAGGAGCACTGGTTTTAGTTCTTCTTTAAAGGTCTGCTGAAATCATCAGTGAATTTGTCTGGTCTGGGCTGCTTTTTTCTGGAATAATTTTTCTATTACTGTTGACAAGGTTATGGCGATATACTTGCTTCCGAGGCAACAGACACCCTTGAAGGATGCCTTAATAAAAAGTGTTAAGGCCAGGAAGCCAGATGAAAACCTGAACCTTGTAGACCCTCCCAGCTCTCCACTGGGCCTCCGGAAGGCATCTAGTGCCCTTACCAGTCCCACCTTTTTGCCCACTCAATCTGAACTTCTGGGTGATGAAAACAAGCTTGGTAGAAGGCATACTATTCCCTGCCTAAAGAAGAGGACCCATACTCACAAAACCTCCATGCTGCATGGTCGTGACACTCAGTGTATGAGCAGCTTCCCATTCTATGGGGAGATGGGGAGCAGCACCACCCCTGAGTGTACATCATGTTCCAACCTTTCCTCAGAGTGTACACCATCAACCATCTCAAAGCAGTCATCCCAGGATGTGGCCACAGCTGGCACTGACAAAGAACAGCATGTCTCCACAGGCTATGTCACCTCAGTTCTCCTGGGAGGAATCCTTCTGTGTGTACACCAGCACAGGTGACAAAGACAGCAACTTATCCACAGAAATACCTCAGCCCCCGGAAATTACCACAGTTGTCATTCCCACCTGTAAGAGTAGCACCTCCTCACAGCACATCTCTTTGCCAGGGAAGGAGCCCTGTATGAGAACATCACCACTCATAACAGAGACAACAGCTCATTCCCAACAGAAACACCTCAGGAGCATGGTAGTGGGCAGCCCCAGGATGTGACCAGAGCTGTCACTCCCAATTCAAAGAACAGCACATCCTCCCAGGATAGATCACTTCTCATCTCCAGGGAGGAAGCTGAAACAAAGAACAGCACCAATCAATACAAAGACAGCAGTTCATTGGCCCCACAAAGCTCACCTGCCCCACAAAGCTCACCTCAGGAGCATTTCAGTCACCAGCACCAGGCTGTGCCTAGAGCCCCTCTAAGAAGGAGGATCTGGAAGGGCCTGAAGACAAGAGTCACAAAAAGTTTAAGGAATTTGTGCTGCTGTTGCTTGCCTGCCCAGGCGAGGCAGCACGTAGGAAAAAACAAAGTTGTAGACAGGAATGAGGACCAAGGAGACAGTGGCAAAAACAGGTCAGTGGAGTGGCTGCAATGCACTTCTGCGTTTATGCTAATGTCCTTTTCTTAAAAAGAAAAACACTTCTGTGTGTATTTGTTTGTATGTTTGGTGTGGGGTGTGTGTGTGTGTGTGTGTGTGTGTGTGTATGTGGTCAGAGGACAATTTGCAGGAGTCAAGTCTCTTTCCACCATGTGGGTTCCAAGAAAGAAGTGTGGTCTCCAGCCTTGGCAGCAAGCATCTTTATTCACTGAACTATCTTGCTGGCCTAAATAATGTCTTTTTCAAAGTAACAAATAATAAATATATATACTTGTGAGGTAGGTAACAATATATCATCACCCCAGAAAGCAAATCCCATAGTATCCATCCTTCTTCCTGAATCCTAAGGAACTTGAACTAGGTGTATGTAGGTAGCAGAGGATGGTGATCTGAGGACAGGGGAGGATGGGGGGAAAGGGTTGCTGGGAGTCAGCAGAGGATCACTGAGGAGGAATCAGCTTGAGGAACGATCCTAACACAGGGTCAGCACAATCAGGGATAAGTGAGTCCTGCCTATTTCCACTAAAAGACTCACTTTATCCTGTCTGTTTTCAAGTGATGTTGGAGCCACTGAGCTCCCTGGATGCTGAATCCAGACAGGAGAGCAGCCGGGAATGGATGTCTGCATCTACAGGTGAGAGCCAGGTAAGAATTGCAAGTTGCTGTGTGCCAGCAGGATGCTGTATCCACATAGCTAACTGAAAGGACAAAATGCCCTCATGTCTGCAGAGAAAAGAGGGAGGGGACAGCAACCTTCTCAGGGCACCTGGGACCCAGAGGAATGAAGGACGATTCTAGGATCGAGGTCTGAGTTCATGGTCCTCCTGACACTCGGCTGCAGGCGGCTCTAAGATGGGCAGTGGACCAGAATGTGTCCACCCCAGTGAAGCCTTCTGCAGGGCTCACAAACTTTGAGGGCTTCCACAGAGTGCTGGTGATCATCAAGGAAACTATAGAGACCAACCCCCAATGGCCTTAAGATGCACAGGGAGATCCTCAGCCCACATCCAGTCTTCAGATGGGCTTCTGGGTCATTAAAGGAGACAGTGGAACAGGAAGAAGACCATAATAGGCCTGACCTGTTTGACTCTGAGTGTGTGTGTGTGTGTGTGTGTGTGTGTCCTCATTGTAAGTTGCTGATCAGGCTGGAGACAGCAACAGAGGCCTGAGATGCAGGTGGGTCCATCAGGAGCCCAGGTGGGAAGGTAGAATGGACAGGGACAGATGAGTCCATTGACTGTAGTACAACTCTTGGGAGTGTTCTGGCTACCGGATAGGCCCCTCCCCCAGATCCACAGACCTTTATAACTCTCCCCAGTACCAATCTCTGAACCTGTCTGTATTTTTGTTGTTGTTTTGGGGATTTTTTTTTTTTTTTTTGCACCATGAGTCCTCTGGACTGCAGTCCTCCATGCTTTTTATATCTGCTGCTGCTGCTGCTTCTAATTTGTGGCCTCTGAGGCATGCTGGACCCCATGCTGGGGTCACCAGGGAAAGACACCTGGGACCACACTCAGGAAGGGACAAAGCCTCAGGCCAGTCTCACCTGGAGGGGCCAGGGGCAGGAGCTTCTACTTGAGCCCCAACACCCTGGATGGGAGAGGAGTGCAGAGGTGATGTTCTCTATGTCAGGCCATGGAAAAGGGGTGGTGGGTTACAGGGTGACAGACAACTGAATATTTTCTAATTTTTAATGAAAACCTTGGTTTTCAGATTTCCCAGAGGAAAGAAGACCAGTGCAAGGGCTTAAGTGGACAGCCGGAGAAGACCACCATCTGCTGACCCTGAGAGCACGCAGCACCTTGCATTGACTCCTGTGGTGGGCACAGGTTAAGAGTGGTGGACAGGGCACTGGTTAGGGCTTGCCATCTGTAACAGGTCAGGTTACAATGGTCTGTATCTCAAATATTGCAGGGTCTTGTCTTTGTTTCTTTCCCACAGACCTCCAGAGACTGCTTATGCGTTAGTTCTCCAGCTGTGATCATGGTAACACCCTGCTTAGAACCCAGCGAGCACTCTCGTTGCTCTGATATAAAGATCACACTCCTCTAGCTTTGTCCTGAATCTCTGTCTTCCAGCAACTGATTTATATGTTTGTTCTTAAAATAGAGCTTTTTGTTACTTCTACTGAGGTATTATTGATACAACTTCATGCGTATACAGTATGTTTTTTTTTAAAATGTATGTGTATGTCATGCATGTGCCAGTGTCTGTGGAGCCCAGAAGAGGGTGAACCACCCAACATGGGTGCTAGGAATTGAACTGGGTCCTCTGGAAGAGCATGAAGTGCTCTTACTGGTGAGGTGTCTCTCTAGCCCTCATTTAATAGGTTTTGATATGTATGCCAAGCATATGTTTAATTGCCATAATCAAGAGTTAACAAATCTACCACCCACAATGTTATATTCCCCTGAGAGATTGCAAAATTGTTTTCCAAAGTATTTGTCCCAACTTCTATTCCCATCAGGGACATATGGACATTTCACCTCCTCCTTACCCTCACAAGGCAGTACTGTTATTTTTTAAATTTCTGCTGTTCTGGTGGGGTATATTGCACAGATTGGTGTAGTTTTAATGTGCATTACACCAATCAGTAATGATGTTGAGCATCTTCTATGTGCTTATTTTCCATTTGCATAACTTCTTTGGCTGTCTGTTTATATCTTTTGCCATTTAAAAAGTTATGTCTGTTTGGTGGATTTTTAAGAATTTCTTATATATTCTTGACACCATTCCTTTATCAGCTGCACTAAATCTTTGTGCAGAAGTTTTATAATTTTAGGTCTTACATTTCGAGATAAGACCCATTTGAGTTCACTTGCATATGTGCTATACAGTGTGGATCCAGTCTCCCTGTACCCCAGCTGGCCTGCCTATAGACCAGGCTAGCCTCAAACTCACAGAGATCTGCCTGCCTCTGTCTCCTGAGTGCTGGGATTAAAGGTGTGCACTAGGACACTGGGCTTGGGTTTTGTTTCTCAATCCATTCACCTAGTCTGTGTCTTTTGAATGGGGAGTTCAGTCCATTAATATATCACACCTAGCCTGTGAATCTAGTTTTTTAAATTTTTTTAAATTTATTTTTAAGTGTATGAGCTTGCATACTAGTGCACCTGTGTCATGTAATGCCTGTAGAGACCAGATGAAGGCACTGAATTCCCTAGAACTGTTGTTACTGTCATGTGGGTGCTAGGAACCGAACTTGAGTCTTCTGCAAGAACAGTCAGTGCTCTTAACCACTAGCCATTTCTCCAGCCCTCAGTGAATGTGGATCTTCTTGCCCACATGTTGAGGGTCCAATTATTTATTCAATGTGCTGGCTTTGTGACTTTGTCAAAAATTCTTTTGTTATTTATGAATTATTCCTATTTATGTAGCTTCTCTTGCATGATTTGGAATTTTAGTTTATACTAATTATATATAAAATCGTGTGTTCCATTATGACATTTCATACATGCATATAAACTATTTTCTCATATTCACCCCCATTATCCTATCTTATCCCCCCTTCCACTCCTGCTGATTCCATTCCTCTTCCCAACCAGTATCCCTTTCCTCTCATGTGTGTGTGTATGTGTGTGTGTGTGTGTCTATGTCTGTGTCTGTGTGACCCAATGAGTTGAATTAGGGTTGCTAACATGAGAACAGGTCAGGGTTATTCACAGAGGCATGGGCATTCACACGTAGCTACACCACGAAAGACAATGGCACCCTCTCTCAACCATTAATTGCCTCTAAATCTTCAGGATAGGGAGGGGCCTCTTAAGCACTTCCCCCATCTATGATGCAATAATGTGGGCCCAATGTTACCTAAGTTCTGTGTAGGTAATCATAGCTGCTATGAGTTCATTAGTAATGGCCATGTCATGCTCAGAAGGCAGCATGACACAACACTCCACCCCTTCCTCCAGTGCTTACATTATGTCCACCCTTTCTATGATGTTCCCTGAGCCTTGGAGTGTATGATACAGAACTGTAATTTATCAGTTGTCCTCAAAAGCAAATTTCAGGAATTTAATTGCCATCAAAGCTCTTGAAGATTACTTGATGTGGCCTTGGGGATCTGACTGCTCTCACTGCATGAACTGCCATACAGGAAAATTGGTAGCAGTTTTGGTGGCAAATGTGATATGCCAGCTGGAAGTAACCTAACTCTGGCTGCCATGGTGGTAAATTTGTTGGGCGAGTGCTCCACCAAGCCCTGTTCCTGAGGCTTCTGACTGATGTCTACTTTGAATGGCATCTGGTCACATGGTTAGATGGCGAACAAATGCATCAAGGAATGCGAGTGGGGACAGAGCCATCACATTCTCCTGGGTGTGGACAAAGCCCTTGTTTTCTAGAGATACAAGTGTGACTTGTGAGTCTCTCACTTTGCACTTGTCTGCATTCCTTTCTAGCCACAATAGACATTTACTGAGCACCATTCTGAGCTAGGCTCTGGCCGATCAAGAGTTTGCATTGTGAAACTGCACTTTACAGGGCACTGGCAGTGAAGACTACACAGAACCATGGCCCCAGCTGTTTCCAGCTGTGTACCTGTGAAAACATTGCCTCCTCTCATTCAGTCTTGAATTTTCTCATCTGTGAAACGAGGCCAGAAATGACTCCAGGATTGGGCAGCTTTGCCTGGTCTCTGAAACACACAGCTCAGGAACTGGTTTTTGCCCCAACCCCTACTGTCTCTTCTTTTTTGTGAAATGGCAACTTAAAAATGGACCCTCAGCTTTCTTTTTGCTTGCTTCTGGGGCTGAAGAAGGATTTCTAGAGCTTCGGTGGGTCTTTGGGAACTCCTCTTCTGGCCAGCTTGCTCTGACAGGAGTGTCTTTCTGTGCAGTAATCATACGAAGCTATTTTCTGTTCTTTCCTTTTTATTTCCTCACTGGGCAGCTTCCTACAACAACCGCAGCTCAGTTTCAACTTAAGACCCAATGGAGAGCGATGGCAAGAGTC